CAATAGTATATATATATATATATATATATATATATACCAAAGATGTAACGTATCGTTCATTATATAGAATAGTAGATTCAACAGAAATAGTGATATACAATTTTTTGCTCTTTTAGAATATATATAATTATAAATGTGCGAATCACGTTATCCCAGCGCAAGTGGTTAAAACACATCTTTATCATTTTTTAAGTAACAATCAAATATTATGGAGATTTAAGATTCATTCCTAATAATATGCTGGCAAATTTCAAAATATCTTGGAATAAAATTAAGATAATATAAATTTTATTTAGTTTATGCTTAAATGTAATAAAATATTTGCCAATTAAGATTTATAATAATCGATATGGAAAACCAATAATTTTATTTGCTTTACAATTATATAATAAATAAGAATTTTATTACAGATCTATATCTTTTGTGACGTATAATATAAATTATAAAATATTGAAAATTTCAATTCCATTATTATAACAAACATCATAATCGCTATAAATTAATTTAATTCGTAATAAAATTTACGTCCATGAAAAGTGTTAGCTTTTATCAGCCATATATGTAATGTATCAATAACAAATGATATGTAACGTTTATAATTTCTTTATATTAATTATTCGTATTATTAAGTAAGAATTGTGCAAAATAATAATTGTCTATTAAAGCACCTAAATAATAAAAAATAACACTACTTTTATATTATTTAAATAATTTTTCATTCTAACATTGAACTTTATCGAGTGTATAAAAAGTATAAAATAAAATAAAATAAATAAATAATAAATATAAAATAGTCTAAAAAAAAAAATTGTTTTATTTTACATTATTTAAATAATATGTTATATATTGTAGAATTAAAATATTCTTAAAATAAGAAAGAATTAATAAGTAATTAATGTAAACAAAAAGTTTATCTTTAAAATTATATATAAATTATATATGATTATAGAAAAACGTGATTATTATATTTTATTTAAAATATAATTTTAATAAAATAATATTTAATTATATCATTAAATACATGTTATACATGTTAATCCATAGAAAGATGAGTTGCTAAGAACTCATCAACAGAATCAGTATCCCATTTATGTATATCCAGAATATCTTCAACTTTATTGTCTGCATCAAATAATTTAATTATTGGATCTAAACCTCTAACATATTTTATTTGCAAATTTTTATATTTATTAGGTCTATTACTTTTTATGAATGCTATAAAAAAAAAAACAGAATAAATGTGTTGAAATTATATACTAATAAGTATATAAGTCTTTATTTTTAAATATAATATAAAATAATTTACCTTGAATTTGAGGATATGCACCAAATTTGCATGTACATACTTCGAGAACAGCACGTGGATATCGTTTTAACCCAGACGCATCGTAATCATCATCTTTTAAACAACATTCTTTGCAATTATTTCTACAATTTTTATGTATCATTTTTATTCTTTTGATATAAAATACAAAATTAATATAATAAGTATATTTATATATACTTACAGTATTTCTGTTAAATTATGTTTATTAAATTCCTCACAAGTTGAACAAAGTAAATTAGCTTTGTTGAAGCCTAAACTTTTACAATCATCAGCTGAAAATTCCGTTGATACAATATTTATCTAAAGAAAATATTATGTTATTTTTCAATTTATAATAATTTGTATTTAATAGGTTAAGTAATGATATTTTTATTTATTACCATTATTAAAATAAGTGAAAATATACGTGTTAATTCTAAGAACTTCATTATATTATTTTTTATATATGAAATATATAAAATGAATCATATGTAATTCTAAAAAGAGAATATTTAACATTAACAACTATAAATTCTATACATCATATACAGGACACACTAGAAGCATAGACGAGATATAAAATAGATTTAACATTCCGTAGAATTTTTTGTACTATTCATTCAGAAGTACACTTTTATGCTTTTACGATTTTGGTATCATTCTCAATATTACCTATTCGCTCAAAATAAGATTGCAATTTTAATAATAGTTTGAATTAAAAATAAATTTCAATATGAAATTATAGATAAAAAATGAAATAAATATTTTACAGAATATCTTATAGATTTAAAAAAGAATTTTGAACAAAGAAATGATGAAAATATGTTCAAGAAATTCAAGAAACATCCGATTATGTATATTTTTATTATCTTTTTTACCTAACCTTATCTATCTATTAAAAATCTTAACAAAAATCTATTCGATCCAATTTTTATATGTTATATATTAATATACGTATTTTATATCATATATTTATAATCTTATATATTATAGGGAATATAAATATTTTGTGTGTAATAATAACTTATCATTTTCATTGTAATTTTTATCATCCATTATTGTTTTATATCGAATATCATCAAGTAACAGTTTATTTCGTTGGAATATTTCGCTTGTTTTTGGAAATATTAAAAAAATGACAAAAATTGAATAGTTTTGAAGAAAGTTTAATGCGTTATAATTATTTTTTTATAGATTAGCACGTTTTTTTATAGAGATTAAAGCACGTGAGAACAATTTAACTTTTCTACATAGAATCATATATTTTTTAATACATAATTAGATGCAGCATATTATTTTCAATATATATATATATATATATATATATATATATATTATAATA